CTAATCTTTACATTCATTATTTATTTTACTAATAGTAATAGACATTGTCTTCTCCAGTGCAATGTTGAACATAAGCTATAATATTTTCTTGTTACTGGTCTTAAATACGATGTTTGAACATTATGCAAATTTATTTTAGATTGCTTTTAATTTGGTTTTGTAGTTAGATTATGGAAGTATACTTTTTTCCTAATTTTGCTAATTATTTAAACTTATTTAAATTTAAATAAATGTTGAATTTTAACAATTTTAACAAGTTACCTACATCCCTCAAAATGACCTTAATTTTTTCCCTTTAATGTCTTAATATTAAAACTGTATCAAATGATTTCTAACATAACACAGCAACACTAAAATCTTTAAAGATAGTAGGAGTACGGCAGTGGCCCACAAATCCAACTTTAAACCATTTTTTCCTTCCTGTTATAAATCCAATTTGAGCATGAGATTTCCTTTATAGATAGTTAGAATTTTGTAAAAATTCATTTAGAATTTTTGCATTTAATTTTAGAATTAAAATTGGTCTATAATTTCCCTTCTTTGTTTCTCTGTGTGATTTTCAACTTCAAGGTCGTAGCAGCTGCAAAGGAAGTTGGAAGGAAGCTAGGAACATTATTTCTTTTAATATTTTGGTTATAGTTATACAACATTCTGATTATTTCACTTTTGGAAGTTTGGGAGACTTTCTCTAGAAAGCTACTTTATTTTGGAGTATGTGTATGTGTTTATAAATTTTAATTACTCATTTAATGATTACATGATATCCAGGTACGGGGAAAAAACAAGCAAATTCTCTTATATTTTCATCTCTGCTATATCTATAGTTATGTTCCATTTAAGTCCTGTGTCTTTTGATTTGTGCTCTTTCTCTTTTTGTTGATCAGGGTTTATTTTTTTAAAAAAAAATTAGCTTGATTGACTTCATTTTTTGAGAAACAAGAGTTATGGCAGAATGTTTAAATATAAAGGTGTTGAAGTCAGATGAAAGGTGATTAAAAGGATTAAATGTAATAAATCATACAAAGCAATTTGAGTCCCAAACAAGTTAAAATCTCAATATATTTAGCTATTGCCAGAGTGTGGTAGGGTACCATGTAATCCCTGCAACTGGGAGATTGAGGCAGTAGGATCTCAAGTTTGAGGTCAGCTTTGGGAACCTAGCAAGACCAGGTCTCAAAATAAAGTAAAATTAAAAATGAGAAGGGCTAAAGTATGTATCTCAGTGGTAGAGTACCCTTAGTTTAATCTCTAGTAGCATAAAAGGAAAAAAATATTATAGTGCTTATTATAATTAAATCCTTCATTATTTTCTATCATTTGACCCAGTTTATATTTTTCTTGGCACTTATTGTTACCGCTATTTACTGGTGACAAGTCCTTGCTTCCCCAATGCTGAAGTATAACACCAGAGAAACACTCTGAGGCATGTTTAGAGTGAGAAGGTAGAAGCTTTATTAAAGGACAGTAGAAAAGACTCTCCAGGGAGGAAGAAGGGGACCCAAGAGGTGGAATCCATGGAAGGGGGAGGTCTTCTCTCTTTTATAGCTAAGGTCTACTTTCTGCTTTGCCGCATTCCTGTCATATTCCTGTTATCTTGCAGTGAAGGAATGTAGGTGGAAAGGCCCAAAGGGTGGGAGACAGGGGGGGGCAAAAGAGTAATCTGGGCAGGAAGGGCTTTTGGATTAGCATCTCCATGTTTGCTGGGAGCTGCTTCATTAACATTTCCTTGGGATGGGCTCCATCTTCATCTTACTTGATATTAGATCCTATGTACCTAACTACACTAACTACCTATCTTTAAATCTGACTTCATTCCCCCCTGTAATTTTGGGAACTCCTTACTGCTGTAAGGAAAGGGGGCTATGACCATTCTGGCTTCTTCAAGCTGAAAGGGGGTGGTGTTGAGAAAGCAGTTTTGGAGTCCCCCTTTTAAAAATCAGCTCTATCCAGTGGTCCATGATAGAAGTCTGATTGAGAAGTAACAGGTTGGAGGGCCATTTGAGTGATGGGCGGTCTATAAAAGAGACAAGAAGTTATTAGTACTGGAACTAGATTAACGAAACAATAAATGCCACAGCATAGGAATATCTTAACGAGTATGATAACAATGACAGAAACTAACAATGTTTTCCACCAGGAAGAACCAGGAGCTAAGATATTGTTCCCATGACAAGGTTGGCGAGGACATGGCTTCTATCTGAGCATGTAAATCTTTAAGGATATTTGTCACATTGCGAGAATTGTCAGGGATGTAAACACAACATTCAATTTTAATAATGCCATAAGTAACGCCTTGAGCTGCAGTGAGGACATATAAAGCCATCCAGTTTTGTAAGATGGCCTTCCTCATAAGTGTTATTTCAGTGTTAAGGAGAGAGATAACTTTCCTCAACATCATGGAGGGCAGTTTGAGTATGATTGTTTAAAGTCTTGACATGCCACATTACATCTTTTAATCCAATTTGTGGGATAAATAGTGAAGATAGGTGATCATACCAACAAAACACAGATCGTCTCCAACTATGTTTGAGATTGGGGAGGTTTGCTGGCTGTTGAGCTGGTCCCTTCTTTTGTGTGACCACTCCTGGGGCTGTTCCTCCTCTCTCAGTGACAAATAGGTTGAACTTTTGTTCAGTAGGCAAGCTAAGGGCAGGGGCTTGGAGTAAGGCCCCTATCGATGCCTTAAAGGCTTTAATCTGTTCTGGTTCCCATATCAGGGAAGTTGTTCCTTGGCATAGTGTCTCTTTGAGGAGGCTATAGAGAGGCTTAGTTAATTCCCCATATCCAGGGATCCAAAGCCTACAATATCCAGTTATCCCTAGGAAGCCTCTAAGTTGTCTTATGGTTTGAGGTAGAGGATACTGTCCTATAGGAGTTATTCTTTCTGGTCCTAGTTTGAGGGTTTCTTGAGACAGCTATAATCCTAAATATTGAACTTGTTTCTGGCACAATTGAGCTTTTTTCTTTGATGCTTTATAGCGCTTATCAGCTAAGAAGTTTAAAAGTTCTTTAGTGGCTTCCTGACATTTCTTTTGAATGGAGGCACATAAAAATATGTCATCTACATATTGTATGACAGTCAGAGATGTTTTATCTCTGATCTCTGTCCTTAGCTAGGGTTTGGCCAAACAAATGAGGGCTATCTCTGAACCCTTGGGGCAGTACGGTCCAATTTAGTTGAGATCCGCTATCTGGTTCCTCAAAGGCAAACAGATATTGTGATTAGGAATCTAAGTGTATACAGAAAAAGGCATCCTTTAAGTCTTACACAGTAAACCATGCAGCAGCTGCTGGAATCTCAGATAACAGAGTGTATGGATTAGGAACCATAGGGTGGAGAGGAACAACTGATTCGTTAATTATTCTCAGGTCCTGAACTAGTCCCATTCCCCATTGGGTTTCTGAATTCCTAAAATGGGTGTGTTACATGGGCTGTTGCAGTGCACTAAAAGTTTCTGTCTTTTGAGATTCTGAATGATCTTCAATAAGCCCTTTTTTGCCTCTGGGCTTAGGGGATATTGTCTCTGATGTGGAAAGACAGAAGGATCTTTTAAGACTATTTTGATTAGAACTGCACTTTTTGCCCGTCCAATTTTGCCTTCAGTAGCCCACACTTCAGGGTTTATATTACATTCTAATAAAGGCAAACATAATGGCCCTCACGATCCCAAATTCATTGTAATGGATGTCTGAAGTTTTGAAAGTAAGTCTCTTCCTAATAAAGGAGTAGGACATTCCAGGACTATCAGAAATGCATGAGAAAACATCATCCAGTCCCACTCACAACTCAGTGTGGAGTAAACTTTCTGATAATAGGCCGTCCAGACTCTCCTTGTACTGTTATAGTATTAGAGGAAAGAGGTCCGGGGTAAGAGGTGAGCACAGAATAACTGGCACCAGTATCTAAGAGGAAGTTGACCTCTTCGCTCCCTAGAGAGAAACATACGTGATAGGAGTTACGTGAGGGAGCCAGAATTGAGCCTGGGCCCATCAGGCCTGTGTGGAGGAGTCTGGCCTCTAGGACCTTCACTCCTCAGGACAGTTCCTCTTCCAGTGATTGCCTTGACATTTAGGGCAGGGCCTTTGCAGTGGTCACTTGGCTACTGGACAATCCCATTTGAAATGTCCTTCCTTTCCTCAATGGAAACAAGTCCCTTTTGTGGATTGAGGAGCATTTTGTCTTCCTCCTTTTTCACCCTGGGAGCTTACTCCTCTAAGAGCAAATACCAGTGTTTCAGTCCTTTTTCTGTCTCTCAGCTCTTTCTCCTTCTTTTCCTCTTGATCTCTGTTATAAAAAACAGAAGTGGCAAGCTGTAGGATATTATCTAAAGATTGATCAGGGCCATATGCCAATTTTTGTAACTTCCTCCAAATGTCTGGGGCTGACTGAGTGATAAATTTGTCCTTTAAAAGTAATTGGCCCTCTGTGGATTCAGGATCCACGGTGGTGTGTTTTCTTATTGCCTGAGTTTCTCCATGAAAATAGCAGGTCTTTCCTGGGGTCCCTGAATAATTTCTGAAGCCTTAGAATAGTTAATGGGCTTTTGCTTGATTCTCCTGAGGGCCTCAAGGACCAACATTTGGAAATGTCTAATTTTCCAAGCATCTTGCTCATCATTTGAGTTCCACTCAGGATCATTTCTGGGAACTTCCTGTGCTCCAGATGGATGATTTGGTTTGCTCCTAGTCTGTTCTGCTGGGGCAAGAGCAAGGTGTAGGTCCATCTCCAAATTCCTCAGGTGCTCTTAGGGCTGCTTCCTTCTCATTGAAAGTCAAAGTCTGGTTGAGTAATAGCATAATATCTTTCCAGGTGAGGTCAAACACCTGGCATATGTTTTGAAATACCTCAATATATTTATCTGGGTACTCCAAAAATCTCCCCAAGTCTGTTTTTATCTGCCTTAGGTCTTGAAGGGAGAAGGGAGTATGTACTTTGATTGGTCCAAATTCTCCTGGCATCTCCTGGAGAGGTAATATATTTGATCTGTCTATTGGGGCAGATGCAGAGAGGCCAGGAAAAGGAGGACAGGATGTCCGCTGTTGCACAACAACAGCAGATGGAGATGTTGTGGGTCCTCATGATTCTTTCTCCTCAGTAGGTGAGTCCCCAAGATTTTCTCTCTTCATGGCAGATATCATAGCTAAGTCTACTTTACATTGTTGGCATAATTTGGGGTTTTCCCTTAGGGCAAAGAAAACCTGGACATATGGCACCTCGAAACATTTCCCTTCCCTTTTGCGAAATTTATCAAGCTGTAAAATTGTATTAAAATTGATACTTCCCTCTGGTGGCCAGGTTTCTCCATCAGGGAGTTTGTATTGAGGCCAGGCCTGGCAGCAGAAGAAAATGAGGCACTTTTTCTTGAGCGTCTGTGGGTCAAATTTATCCTAGTTTTTCAATATGCAGGTAAGTGGTGTACCTAGCATATTGGAGAGAGAAGCTCCTATCTGAGTGAGAAGAAGAAAAAAAAAACAGGACTCAGGGGGCCCATGCCAGAGAAAACTGTTCTCATTAGGGACGTCTCCCTAAGTTTGAGCTTCCTTATGGTCCAGAAAACCCATCTCTCACCTTGCTTTGCCAAGGGTGTTTCTGGTCCCCTTTGGCAAAGTGCTAGGGTCTCAGTTTGCCCTGTGCCAGAGACCCTGGGAGGATTCAGACTTAAGGGCCTTACTGCTTTCCTCCCTGCACTAAAACCCACAGCAAAAGCGAATCACCCACTCTTCTTGTTGCCTTTTGCTCCATAGACTAAAGGAATCTCCTGAGGGTAAGGGATATTTACTGGTTGTAAGGCATATAGTGCTTTCTATCGGAGCAACTACTGGAAGACTTGATTCTAAAAATGCCTTCCTCTGGCAGCTTAAAGAGAACACAGCACATTCTAAACATCGGAGTGGTAATGGAAGATTTTAAAACAGACTAGTGAAAGTTACCTATGTGCATAAGGGAACCTGGGCACCTTTTTACTAATTATCCCATGTCTTTCTCAGTCCAACCTGAATTGCTAGCGTTTCTGACCGGCGAAGAAAGGAGAGCATCCAGGAGGGGATGGATGCGGGGTCAGGAGTGTTACACGGAGGCAAATGTAATTGGGGCTTTCCCTCAGTGCCATTCATCTACTGATCACCCTAGATACCCCTTAGAGCTGTCGGGAGGGGGTTCAAGAGAAAGGAACCTTAGGAATACATCTGAGTGTAGCCCAGACCAGAATTCCACAATTGTTCCAAACTCCTTTCTCCACCTCCATGCATCCAAGGCAGATCGGGATTAGGGACATCAGGATTAGGGACACTGTGTACTCACGCCAGTTGCTCTCCGGGCCCAGACAGAAAAGTGGGAAGCGGCTTTGGCAGAACCCAACATGCCTGCTCTGTATGGAACAGGTGATTGAGAGCTGCCTAGGTCGGGAAACCTCTCACCCGAGTCTTGAAGAGTGGCGGTTGCACTAGTTGCACTTAAGTATTCATCGGGTGCCCACATCACCTTCCAGAAAGAAAGAAAGAGAAAGATGCACCTCAGACAGACATGGGGTGCGCAGAGAGGTGCTTACCTTGGCGTAGGTCTCGGTGGGGAACCGCCAATCTGTTACCGCTGTTTACCGGTGACTGATGAGTCCTTGCTTCCCCAATGCTGAAGTATAACACCAGAGAAACACTCTGAGGCATGTTTAGAGTGAGAAGGTAGAAGCTTTATTAAAGGACAGTAGAAAAGACTCTCCAGGGAGGAAGAAGGGGACCCAAGAGGTGGAATCCATGGAAGGGGGAGGTCTTCTCTCTTTTATAGCTAAGGTCTACTTTCTGCTTTGCCGCATTCCTGTCATATTCCTGTTATCTTGCAGTGATGAAATATATGTGGGAAGGCCCAAAGGGTGGGGGACGGGAGCCACAGGAGTAATCTGGGCAGGAAGGGCTTTTGGATTAGCATCTCCATGTTTGCTGGGAGCTGCTTCATTAACATTTCCTTGGGATGGGCTCCATCTTCATCTTACTCCCTATGTACCTAACTACACTAACTACTTATCTTTAAATCTGGCTTCATTATCATTTTCTGAAATAATCACTTATATTTATTTTATTGATATATTTCATTTTTAAATTAATGATAGATTTTACCACTCTTTATTGTCCTGTAGTGAATGGGACTTTATTTTTTCTGATAACCATTATGTACAAAGCTCAAAAACATGCTCAATACATAGTAGAAAATGAAAGAATGTGAAGAAATCAATGAAAAAATAAAAGCAAATTAAATTGATGAATTACTAATAAATTAGCATCCTGTCAGAATGCTAAGCTGAGAAGAAAATTTTGATGTGCAAAGACATTGAGCAAACTTTGGGGCAAGGACCTCTATAGAAATGAAAGTGATGTTTAAAACTCAACATGAAGGAATTACATTTTGTCAGGGACTTGAAATGGATATAATACAAATGTCAAAAACAAAGTTACCTACTTTGTAGTTTTGTCCATTTTCGATTTTTGAGTCTTCAACATAAGAGGCATTGTAGAAATATTTGTTGACGTGACATTGTCAGCAGAAAGCACTGTAAAGATTTCTAAGCAGTGTTAGGGTAGAAACATTTTAATTTTTTTTTTATTTAAAAAGGTATTTTCTACATTGATTACCTTATTCTAAAACTCAGAAAAAATTAAGTGAATTCTTTTCATTTTATTTTACTTTCCTCTTTTTTAGGAAATCTAGATATTGTTGTACCTAACAGAGTGTATCAAAATATTTCAGTGTTGATTCAATTATTTCTTGCCTTTGAAATTGATAAATCAAGCTTTTAATTTTTCTATTTCATTGACAGAAGATGCAAGTTTGCAGTCAGAAAAGGACACATCTCAGCGAACAACATGTAATCCATTCAGCCTAAGTTTGGTTGTTTTGAAAACATTTTGTCATTTACGTGCATAAAAAATTTTGAAGTGTGACAATAAAGGAACATCTTCATTTAAATGTAACCCATCATCATTTTGATTCAGTATTAAACTTTCTGTACTACTCTCTGGTATCCAAATTTAATGTGTGTTTTCAATTCAAAAGATATATTTATTATAGTATGGAAAATGGGGAAAAGTAAAAAGTGTGTGTGTATGTGTGTGTTTGTGTATGTGTGTGTATATGCATTAGGGTTCTCTAGATCAACAGAACCAACAGAACCAACCATATAAATATGATTGTAAAATGGGAATTTATTAGATTGGCTCACAGGACCAGAAGCTAAATAGTCCCACAGTGGCCATTTGCAGGCTGGAGAGCTGCAACAGGCTGGAGCCTCAGAACAAAAGGGATCAATGATGCAGCCCCAGTCTGGGGACCAAATACCTGGAAACCCCCTGGAGAGTCTCACCAGAGTCCACCTGGAAAAAGGAGCTGGAGTCTGATGTCCTCAGGCAATTGCAGGAACAGTCAAGCTTGTATCTGCTGCTGCTTCCTAGTTCTTCAAACTTTTTTTCCTATGGAAATGTCTAATCTATTGAACTATGCTGCCTACACTTAGGGTGGGTCTCCACCTCAGTTTGCTGTCTCAAATGCCAATCGTTTCTAAAACACCAAAAAGTATCTTAATTTTAGGCATCTCAAAATCCAATCAACTTGAGAATTCAGATTAATCATCACTATGTATTGGGAATGAATTGTAACTTAAGTTACAGTAGATATAAGGAATTAAATATATTTCACACATGGAACCAACCTAGGTGCCCTTAAATAGATGAATGGCTAAAGAAAATGTGGTATATATATTAGATGGAATATTACTCAGCTTTAAAGAAGAATGAAATTATGGCATTTGCTGGTAAATGGATGGAGTTGGAGAATATCATGCTAAGAGAAATAAGCAATTCCAAAAAACCAAAGTCTGAATGCTTTCTCTGATATGCAGTTGCTAATTCGCAGGAAGGGTGAGTGTTGCAGGTGCTAGGGAAGAATAGGATTACTTTAGGTAGAAGAGAGTAAAGGGAGGGAGGGGATATGGGGACAGGAAGAACAGTACACTGAAATACATTATTACCTTATGTACATTTATGACTGCATGACAATATGTACAATCAGAAAAATGAGAAATTATACCCCATTTATGTATGATATATCAAAGTCCACAAGGGCATTCTGTTATTAACTATTTAAAACAAATTAGAAATATTAAAAATATATGAAATAGTTTCTTTATATTCCAGTACTTAATTATTTTAAAAATGTTAATGAGAAATGTTTCAGATAGCATATAATGTTATATATTATGGTCATTATTATTAGTGGCTGGGGAACAAGTCGATGGATTGAAACTCTTGATTTAATAAAAGTGATTAAATCAATGGATTAAATGCAAAAAGAAAAATTAAACTTTTAAGACTTCACAAAAAGGTATGGAAAGCTGAAAACTTCTAAATAACACATGTCAAAGAAGAAATGTCAAGAGAAATTGCAATATTTTGAATTAAATACAAATGAAAACACAACTTACCAAAATATGTGGGATACAGCAAAAGCAGTACCCAGAGGAACATTTATAGCACTGAATTGATATATTTAAAAAATACAATCTAAAATCAGTCATCTATGTTTTCACTTAGGAAACTAGTGGGGGTGGGGGGGGGGGAAGAGCAAACAAAATCCAAAGAAAATAATAAAAATCTGAGCAATCAAAAAATTAAACTCAAGGAATCAATTTAGACAATAACTGAAAAAAAACAAAAGATCAATAAAATTCATATGTTATTACTTAAGGCGGGAAAGGGAGAAAGAACATAAATTACCAACACCAGAAATGAAAAGAAGGATGTTACTAAAATAATATCTCATAAACATGAAAAGGATAATTGAGGAAAACTATGAGCAACTCTACCACAAATATACTTAAGATGAAATGGACCAATTCAATGAAAGACACAGTGTGCCAAAACTCACAAAAAAAATAAATAGACAATCTGCATAGGTATATAGCTATTAAATTAAACCAATAATAACCTTCCAAAAGAGAACACCAAGCCTGAATTAATTCACTGGTAAATTCTATTACCATTTGACAAAATCCAACACCCGTTCATGATAATAATTCCCAGTAAACTAAGAATAGTAGAGACACTCAGGGTCACTCCAGGGGAACTGGGCTGCATAAAATAACCATGCAAGAGACAGAGATACCTTTTTCTTTGGGGGTCCTGTGATGGCTCCTCTGACCTTAAGGGTCTGCAGAAAGGAGAGCAAGTGTGTGCTGACCTCTTTTATTGAGGAAAAGCCATTCAACTGAGGCAAGGGGTCAGGTTTCAGGGGGCTGAGTCTTAACTTCATGATGTCTGCTGTCAGCAGCTTGACTGACATCTAGGAAGGCCACACCCAAAGGCAGAGCAAGAGAAGGGGACACACAAAGGGTGTTTCCATGGAACATTGTATCCCAAACAGGGCAAGGGGATAATATCACAAAGGAACAGGTGAGCAAAGCTCAACCCATGGGGCTGCAGAAAGCCATACCTATGCATGAAGACACCTTCTGCTACTTCCAGGATCAGGGCAGCTGTGTGGGGCCACTTTGAATGTGGCCAGATCACTGGAAGTGACTGACAGAGCCTCAACGATCAGGGAAGGAAAATGCTGGTCACTCAGCATGATGGCCCCCCACAGAGGACTACCTAAAGATATTGATAAATAATATCCACAAAAATCCTTAGAATTCACTTCACACTTAATGGTAAGAATCTTTAAAGCTTTCCCACTAACATCAGGAACAAGGTAGACCTCTCTCCCCACTGCTTTTTATCACCATCTTGAAAGTTGTAGCTAATGCAATAATACTTGAAAAGAAACTAAAAGGCATACAGATTGGAAATAAATATTTTCTTTGCAGACGACAATCATTTGTGTAGAAAATCCAAAAGAATCAATAACAAAAAATAAAATTAACAACAAAACAAAACTCCTGAAACTGTTACTAGGCAGAGGTTCCTTGGTTTTTGTCTTCTTGAAAGAATAACTTCACTCAAGAGACATAGATAGAAAAAGCATAGACAGTTACATAGTGAAAATAAATTCCAGGGAGAACACAGGGTAGGCCATCCCAAGGGAAGAAGTGGTCTTTTTTGCTTTGTGAGTTTTTATTATCTGCTTGGGATCTTCCCATTCCATGAACTATTTATTTGGGAGTAGTTACCACAATTTCCTACCATGGCTTGGTGCCAGGAATTTTGTGGGTGCTCTGAAGTTGAAAAGTCCCTCAGGCTGGTTACACACTAATTTCTTAGTTTTAAGAAGGTAGTAATTGGCCATGAGAGGTGGTTTATTGGCAAGGTTTTTTTTTTTTTTTTGTCACTCAAGATCTTTTGTTCTTCAAGATGAAGTGAGAGCTATTCTCCCTTTCTCCACCCCCCTGCTCATATCTGTCAATCTACTCTAACAGATCGAATAAGTGATTATAGAAAGGTTGCAGGATTCAAGGTCAATATAAAAAGGTCAATTGCTTTTCTACGTACTAAAAATTCACTAGAATTGAAGTTAAAAATACAATATTGTCAGGCTTGGTGGCACACATCTGTAATCCCACCAGCTCAAGAGGCAGGGGCAGGAGGGTCACAAGTTCAAAGCCAGCCTCAGCAACTTAACAAGGTCCTAAGCAACTCAATGAGACCCTGTCTCTAGATAAAGTATGAAAAAGGGATGGGGATGTGGTTTAGTGGTTTTGAGCCCCTGAGTTCAATCCCTGGTAACAATATCCCCCC